GCATTCCGACCTGGGTGACAGAGCAAGACCCTGTCTCTAAATTAATTAATTAATTAAAAGAAAAGAAAAGAAAAAGAAAAAAATAAATCCCATGAGCCTGAGAGCAGGGACTTTTTTTTTTTTTTTTAATGTATAAACCATGAACAGACTATGGGCCATTTTCTTGTTCACAGTTGTGTCCCCAGTGCCTAGAACAGTGCCTGGCACATAGTAGGTACTCATTACAAATTTGTCAAATGAATGAATATAAGAAGAGACGGTTAGATGGCTTGGGTGGCTAGATGGTCCCACAGAGGTGAGGTTTGTATGCAGGAGTAACTAGATAGTGGTACTTAAACTGAGATTTGAAAAGTAGAAAAATGGGTGTCAGAAAAGGAATGATCCCAGTGTAGGCATCCAGATAGTGGGAGATCCCAGGTGATGAGGTTAGGGTGTAGCGGGGTAACTGGGACTCGGCCTCCAGGGGTGGTGGAGCCATGCAGTCCATAGGTTCTCCGAGAGAACGTCAGATGGGAAGAGGTCAGAGAGGGTACCCCAGCCGATGCTGCCTCCTGCCTCGAGTCAGCTCCCTGCCAGGACCTGACCTGCTTATCGCACTTCCTGTTAGGGTCCTGTTTCCAGAAAGATACCTCTATTCTTGGCTCATCAGGGGTTAATGATCAAACTCTTCCTGCCTAGTCCCCAGCTCTGCCCCACTTCCCCAGAGGTCCTGACCCTCAGAGCCCCTTCCCTGCTGTAGGAAGCTCTCTGCAGGTCTGCCCACAGCCCCCTTGGTCAGTGGGATTCCAGACAGCCATGGCGAGAGTCGTCCTCTGGGAAAGGGCACGGCTCAGGGAAAGGAGGTACAAGAGAACATGGGAGCTTCTAGCCTCTTCCAGGGAGTCGGAGGGCCGGGGAGGGTCTCGTAGCCCTGTGGGCAGTGAGGTGGCTGGGGACAGTGACTCCACAACTGCCCTCCGTGTGTAGGATGCAGCTGGGGCTGGAGCCAGGTCTGGCTATCGTGGTCGTCGCTCCCCTCACACCCCCCATGAACGCTTCGAGGGGCTCACGGTGCTCAAGGCGGCGCAGGTGAGAGCAGGCACTGGGGCCTGTCTGTGGAGGAGCTCTCCTGGGCCCGAGACTGCCTGGGGCCTGGGCCCAGGTTGAGAAAGGGGGTGTTCTGAGACTGGGGCCTGCATTGTTTCCGGGGAGCCGTGGAAGGAGCAGTTGGGCAGATGGACAGAACTGGTGGCAGAGAGACTCCAGACCCATGGGTGGAGAGCAGCGGCGGTGAGGCAGGGGCTAGGGCTGGGGCCACCCTTCCATTGCCTTCCTCCTTTCCTGCCCTTCCTGTCGCTGCCCGTAGCTGGCCCGGGCTGGGGCGGTGGGCAGCCAGGGCGCTAAGCTGCTTCTGGAGGTGAGCGAGCGTGTGCGGACCCTGACACAGGCCTACTTCTCCCCGGAGCGGCCCCTGCATCTTTCCTTCACCCACCTGGTGTGCCGTAGTGCCATAGAAGGTGACTGCCAGGGACCCCCCACTGCTCCTCCCCACCCTCAGGCCCCGTCGGGCACTGCACGCCCTCAACACCCTCAGACTGTGTGGGTTCCAGTCTTTACTCCTGAAAGACCCCATTCCCCTGCCCAGGTCAGGGCCTGGCTTCTCTGCCCAGCTGTGACCCCAGGAGCAGCAGGGTGGATGTGGGTGGGGCGCGTGAGCCCACACGGTGGCAGCTGGGCACGGGGACTCAGAGGCATTCACCAGACCCCTTTGTGTCTTAGGGGAGCAAGAACAGCGCATGGACCTGAGTCACCCAGTACATGCAGACAACTGTGTCCTGGACCCTGACACCGGAGACTGCTGGCGGGAGCCCCCGGCTTACACCTATCGAGACTATAGGTGGGCGGCGCCTCCAGGGCTCGGCAGGTGGACAAAGTCATTCTACAGCAGGCCTAGGCTGAGGGTGGGATCTCACTCCCTTCTGTCTTCCTCCCTCCTCAGTGGACTCCTCTACCTCAACGATGACTTCCAGGGCGGGGACCTGTTCTTCACAGAGCCCAATGCTCTCACTGTCACGGTACATGGGTGAGGGTCGTGGGGGCGTGACACAGGGCCCAGCTGTGGAGTCGGGATTCAAAACAGAAGGTTCCCAGAGGCAAATGCAGGCAAATGGCCAGGGCCGCCTTAACCCTTTCCCTTCCCCACCTCCCTGGCCCTCCCCGCCATTTATGCCACTTATTTGTGGCCCCAGGACACAAAAGTCCTGGGGCCTGGTAGCAGACACCGATTTAGCCTCCCCAGCAGGGAGATCTCCAAGCGGCCCCTCCAGACCTGCCTTCAGTGTAGACCTCACCTTCTCACAGAGGGTGGGTGCAGCGGAGCCGGCAGTGTCCCTCCAGGACCCCAGGTCCCTCTCCTAGGGCTTTGGGGAACTTGAAATAGTCCTTCTTGCCCACAGCAAGACAAGCACCGTGGCTAGCAGCACAGATGCTGGGCCACCGGGACTTGAGTTCAGATCTGGGTTCTTAACCTTTCTGGGGTTCAGCCTCCTACATGAGGGTGATGATAACATACCTATTTTAGGGCATTACTGTAAGAAGTAATTTAGATAATGTGCGTAAAAGAACGAGGCAGTGCCTGGTAATAATGAACAATTAATCAGTGTTAGGTGGTATTCTGCCCCCATTCCTGGATCATGGAAATTTCTAGGTAGCCACCAGGGGCAAGAGTTGGGCGGAAAGAGACAAACAGTGATTTTTCATTCTGACGCAGTCACCTTTCCTCCGTCCCACTGAGAATCCAGGCCTTCACTGGGATGGGAACATGCCTACAAGATCCTTGTCCCCTCCACCCAGAGTGTGGTACTGCACTCATGCCCCCTGATTGCTTCGCACCCTGGGTTCAAAGGGCTGGGCAGGAAAAATCAGGGTACCACGGGGAGGGAACCAGCAGGAGACCCTGGGAGGAGGCCCCTTCTCCCTTCGGCTTCCAAGTCTTGTAACTTCAGTCTGGCATTTTGTTTCCAAGTTGAGGCCAATTTCCCCTTTGCCCCAAGCTAGTCTCTGAACTGAGGAGCTGATCCTCTGTGTGTCCCCTGCCCCCATCCTGCTCTCGGGAGTGAGGGCCAAGTTCTCTGAGCAGGCTGATCCCTGCAGCTGAACCTGCCCTCGCCCCGCAGGCCCAGGTTCGTCCTCGCTGTGGACGCCTCGTGGCCTTCAGCTCTGGTGGAGAGAATCCCCACGGTGTGTGGGCCGTGACGCGGGGACGCCGCTGTGCCCTGGCACTGTGGCACACGTGGGCACCTGAGCACAGGGAGCAGGTAAGGAGGAGTGGGTGAGGAAGGGATGTGGCTCTCCTGGTGTGTGAAGGGTGGGTAGGCAGCCATGGAGGAAGCTCTCGGGGGTGAGGGGCAGGGGCTAAGATGGCCCAGAGAAAGTGGATGCAGGGGACGGGGCCAGACTCTGCCCCCCCACCCCCAGGAGTGGATAGAAGCCAAAGAGCTACTACAGGAGTCAGAGCAGGAGGAGGAGGAGGAGGAGGAAGATGAAGAAGTGCCCAGCAGAGATCATTCCCCAGAACCCCCCAGCCACGGGCTTCATCGAGTCCAAGACAAGGGTGGAAAGCCAGCTCGGGTCCGGGAGGAGCTGTGAGTGGCTGAACCAGCTCCTTGGGGATGTGGCCACTTGACTTGTGAAAGGGCCATCTCAGTGCCAGGACCCACAAGAAGTGCCTGTGACATCAGGAGCAGAACTGCAAGCTCTGTGTCCCTGTGCCCCACCATCTTGGGCGTCCACAGGGGCTGTCCAGCCCTGGACTCAGAGGACACCACATAGGCTAGCCTAGAGCTCCCCAGGCCTGGCTCCAGCTGACGGACCTGCAGCCCTAGGACAGACAGAGGATGCTGTGCCTCCCTGAAAAGAAATGGTCGGGGGCGGGGGGCTAACGCTTTAAATGAGCAGGACGAGCGGGAAGGATAACCCTATTCCCCTCCCCCAGCCTGTGCAATAAAGATCATGGAGATCCTTCCGCCAGGGGCCGCCGGGTGGGTGTATCAGTTTTTGCCTGTAGTGGCTGGAGGTGGGGGTGGCTGTGGCTGGCCTAGGAGGAGACAGGTGTCTTTGGGCCTCCCAGAGGCGGTGCCACTGGAGCCTGTGATTTGTCAGGGAAATCTCAGCCACCTGCTCTCCTCATGCAAATGGACCCAAGCCCCTGACAGCTGCACTTGGGCCTCCAACGCTAAGCCCTGAGCCCGGCTGAGACTTAGGGCAGCCTGACCCCTCTGGCTCCTGCTCCCACAGCCCCAGCAGGGTGCAGTGAGCCAGGCCAGACCCCAGGCTGGGAGCAGGCGGCAGGGTTGCCCTCCACTTTCAATCTTTCTCTGCCCAAAGCGGGGGCAGGCCTGCGCATCCTTCCTGGTGGATCCCCTGTGCCTCTCTCCCCCACCCAGGATCAGACCTGGGGCAGCTGGTTGGGGTTTGTCCACAAGAAGGATTATCCAGATCAGTCTCTTCTAATCTCAGCTCCTGCCTGTACCCTCCCATTCACCGTAACCCTCTTCTCCAACCTCCCTGAGCTAGGGACACAGTTTGAGGTATTGACAATGGGGCCATCTATCACCCTTGTGTCCTGGCTCCTGGACTGTTGTTAAGTGGGCCCTGACGGCCAAGATCATCACCACTGGTGGAGGCCAGGGCTGGGGGACCCCTGGAGCTGTGGTTGCTACTGCTCCTTTGCACCCCTCCCGAACCCCAACCCCTAATCCTCACAGCTTTGCTCTAATCCCATGGGGCCTGATGCTCTTATCTCTGCCTGCAGGGAGACTGACCAGGGAAGCGCCCCATCAGCCCTCCTCTCTCGGGGCTTGTGTTGGGGGCTGCTCCCCTCCAGGCCCCACACTCCTGCTCCCACCCCTCCTCCAGGCTGGGCCCAAGTCTCTTTGGAAGCCACACACCTCCCTCCCTCCCTGTCCTCTCCCCTCACCCCTGCCAGCTGATTTCATTTGCCTGACGTGGTGGTTGGACCTACCCTTCCCTGTCGGGCCCCCCCACCCCCCCGCCAGTGGGGGCCAGGCCAGGCCAGCTCCTCTGGCAGCAGAGCCTGGGCAGGTGACGGGCAGGTGTTGCAGCCGAGGGAGTGAGGAGGCGCCCGGGAACCAGAGCCGGAAGCCTGGGAGAGGTCCAGCCAGAGCCCAAGTAAGAGGGAGCTGGCCTGGGCCCTGCTCTCCGGGGCTGGGGCTGCAGGGAGGGCTCAGGCAGGGCTGGGGCTGGATGCACAGGACTCCAGGCTTGGAAGGCCTAGCCGGGGGGTGGTGCAGGCCCCCAGCCATTTCCCTATTTCTTGGTGTGGGCTCTGGCCCTTAGGAGTCTGGTGTGGGGTGTGGAGGACAGCAGCATGGCCTGGTGAGCATTCCCCAACACCTACCCCATGTTCCCGGCAGGAGCCGGAGCCACCTCTCGACACTCAGCCATGGGGGAGATGGAGCAGCTGCGGCAGGAAGCGGAGCAGCTCAAGAAGCAGATTGCTGTAACCCGGGAACCCTCCCTCTGGGGACCTCAGCAAACAGAACTGGGGACGTGAGGGAGTGTGGCCTGGGGGGAGGGGGCCGGGTCCACTCTTGAGTGACACCTTAGAGGCCTCTGACCTAGAAGTGACTAGAGACTTTCTGAACTTGGCTGTCATATTTGAAGCCCCCCAAACCCCAGAGCCCCACACCACCCACCTCGCAGGTCCACGACCTGCCACCCCCGACATGTCCTTCCCTCCCTGATGTCTGCTTTGCCCGCAGGATGCCAGGAAAGCCTGTGCCGACATCACTCTGGCAGAGGTGAGGCCTGTCCTGAGGGCAGAACTGGAGGGGAGGAGATGGGAGCTCCCCAACCAGCAACAACCTGGTGCCCCGAGCTTTAGTACAGCGTGTCCTCGGAGTGAGGAAAGGCATTAATTAATTCATCAGCAAACGTTTAGTGAGACCTGCTCTGGGCAGACACTGTATTGGAGGCTAAAGATGTGGACACTGTTCCTATTCTTGTCCACAAAACAGGAGTGGTTACGCCCCCTCACAGGGCTGTGAGGATGAAGAGAGGGACAGTACTTTGTAAGCATAAAGCCCTTGTAGACTCTAGTTGCTAGTTGTCCATATTGCCTTTCATCAACTCTAAAATGCACCCTTCTTCACATTTTGACATCTCTGCAATCAAGATGCATCCAACAGTAGATGATGCTTTACAATTATAATTGGCAGCATTTTTTTTCTTAGTAATATATACAATAACGCTGCTTCTTAGAGTTGGTGGCATCTTAGATTGGATTAAATATCTTAATAATAAGAGTGAATGCTTACCATGAGCCAGACACTGGGCTAAGTTGCTTAAGTACCTAATTTCATTTAGTTTTCATGACGTCTCTGGAAGGTAGGTGCTGTGATAAGCTTAATTTTCCACCTCGAGGAAACAGGCTCAGAGAGGTTAAGTAACTTGCCCAAGATAACAATGTAAGTAATAGCAAATTAAGTCTGTTGACGCTGGAGCCCCAGTCCAAGTCTAGGAGCTGATTAGAGTTCAAAGGTCACAGGACCACAAATCGCAGGAGGTGCAGTTCAGAGTCATGGCAATGCCCTGGTGCCCAGCCAAAGAGCCGGCCATGCTGGAGTGGTAGGCTAGCACAGGCTCTCGCCAGCTTGGGAGCACCAATCGTGTGCACCTCTGCTCAAGTCTGTTTTCATTGACCTCACACTGGCAGCTTGAAATGGGTCAAGGTGGGAGTATTTACATCATGGAAATCACCCTCCCACTCCGCCATCCACCCTGGAGAAGCAGTTGTTAAAGACTTAGCAACACACCACTGGCCATGCATGCATCTGTCTCCCACATTGGTCTAAGCCAGTCGAAGGTAGGGACTTATTTCCCAAAGGCCGGAGGGCCTGACCTAGAGCCTGGCACAGAGCAGGAACTTGTGTAGATCAGTGGCTGTGACAGAAATTTGAGTGATATATCCTGCTCTCCCCAATATCTCGTGCCCCTCTCTCCACAGCTGGTGTCTGGCCTAGAGGTGGTGGGACGAGTCCAGATGCGGACGCGGCGGACGTTAAGGGGGCACCTGGCCAAGATCTATGCCATGCACTGGGCCACTGACTCCAAGTGAGGCTTGAGAAGGGCCCAGGGGGATGGGGAGGCAGGGCAGAGAGGCTTATGTGACATGGGGTGCTCTCTCCCCAGGCTGCTGGTAAGTGCTTCGCAAGATGGGAAGCTGATCGTGTGGGACACCTACACTACCAACAAGGTACCAGCCCTGCTTCCCCGACCCTCCACCACTGCATCCTTCCTGGGGGCACTAAGCTCACTTTTCTCTGCCCCTGCCCACCTGGGAGCTCAGCTCAGGTCCTGCCTCTGCCCAAACCACCCTCCCTGCAGGTGCACGCCATCCCGCTGCGCTCCTCCTGGGTCATGACCTGTGCCTACGCCCCATCAGGGAACTTTGTGGCATGTGGGGGGCTGGACAACATGTGTTCCATCTACAGCCTCAAATCCCGCGAGGGTAATGTCAAGGTCAGCCGGGAGCTCTCCGCTCACACAGGTGAGTGGGAGCCCCTCTCTTCCTGTCCTGAGGGTCCAGGGAACCCCAGGCCGTGCTGGGCTGTGGCTCTGCAGCCAGGGCACTGCCCTTCTAACCACCTCCAGGTTATCTCTCCTGCTGCCGCTTCCTGGATGACAACAACATAGTGACCAGCTCCGGGGACACCACGTGGTGAGGGCTGAATGCTGCATGTGCTGGGGCTCGGAGGTAGTCCTGTCCTGGGCACGTGGCCTTCCTCTGTGACGGCCTTCCTCCCTCCCGGCAGTGCCTTGTGGGACATTGAGACTGGGCAGCAGAAGACTGTGTTTGTGGGACACACGGGTGACTGCATGAGCCTGGCTGTATCTCCCGACTTCAAACTTTTCATTTCGGGGGCCTGTGACGCCAGCGCTAAGCTCTGGGACGTGCGCGAGGGGACCTGCCGCCAGACTTTCACTGGCCATGAGTCGGACATCAACGCCATCTGTGTGAGCACGGGACCCTCTCACCCCCAACAGCACACACGACGCACATCCCCTGCTCCCCATAGCTTCCCTAGCCCTACCTGTTTTTAACTTTTCACTTTGAAAATAATTTCACTTCACAGAAAAGTTTCAAGACTAAGAGAAAGAACGCCCATATATCCTTCCGCCAGCCCCACTGTTAACATTTGACCACATTTGCTTTATCATTTGCTCCGCAGAGAAATAGAGAGTGACGGACACACACACACTTAGGTGTAGATATATACTTTGTTACTTTTCCTCTGGGTCTTTTGAGAGTGCGTTGCAGACATCATGCTTCTTTTCCCTTAAATACTTCCTAAAAAGAAAGCCCTTTTCTAACATAGCCACAGTATAATTCTCAAAATCAGGAAATTTAATGTTGACACAGTACTACAATCTAGTCTATAGTCTAGATTCAAATCTTACCAATTATCTACAAAAATGTCCCTAATGGCAATGTTTTTGTTTTTGTTTTTTTCTGTTCAGGATCCAACCCAGAAATGAGCATTGCATTTCTTTGCCATATCTTTTTAGTCTCCTTTAAACTGGAACCATTTTTCTACCTTTGTCTTTCATGACATTGACATTTGTGAAGAGCATGAGCCAGTTTTCTGTACACTCTCCCTCCCTTTGAGCTTATCTGACATTTCCTCACGATGAGATTTAGGTCATGCATTTGTAACGGGCCCTGTTCTTGCACACCCTGATCCAGCCCTATGTAGTCACAGGAGTCTGGGACAGCCTCCACCCTTCTAGCTGGGTGGCCCTGGGCAAGGCTTGGTGCTCTCGAATGCAACATAGAGGCGATGGCTGCCTGCAGCGCTGTAGTGAGGAGCGAGCAGGGGTGTAGGGAAGCTGCAGGCATGCCGCTGGCACGTGGTGCCTGGCAGCAGCGACTAGCCACACCGGGGAGCTGCCTCTCACCCAGGCCAGGGGAGGGGCAAGCAGGGAGGCTGAGAAGCAGCTTGCCTTGGAGTCAGCAGGTGGGAGCCAGGGAGAGGGTGGGGACCCTGTGGGCTGGTGCAGGTCTGAGTCCCGACCCCCTTGCCACCTGTGCCCTCAGTTCTTCCCCAACGGAGAGGCCATCTGCACGGGCTCGGACGATGCCTCCTGCCGCTTGTTTGATCTGCGGGCAGATCAGGAACTGACCGCCTACTCGCATGAGAGCATCATCTGTGGCATCACGTCCGTGGCCTTCTCCCTCAGCGGTCGGCTGCTCTTCGCTGGCTACGACGACTTCAACTGCAATGTCTGGGACTCCATGAAGGGCGAGCGCGTGGGTAAGGGCCAGCCCTGCCTACTGCTTCCTCAGCTGGAAGGACCCTTCCTCACCCTCCCTCCCACTCTGTACCCTCCTGTCAGCTCCCTTGGTTGGGACACCCTTGCTGCTGTTCCCATCATGGCATCCCTCCATCCCTGGAATCTAGGACCCCTTGGTTCCCAACCTAGAACCATCTTCCCGCAAAGATGGTTGCTCTAAGCAGCCCCTCTCCACTGCCAAATGCCATAGCTGCTCCCTGCCCAAGGAGCTCCTCTGGTCATCCCCAGATTTGTGGACCTTGAACGTCTAGTCAGATCCGGATTCCTGACATTTCAGGGGCAGCCACTGAAGGAAGGACAGCCTCAGGGCACTGTGGAAGGGAAGTGGGGAGAATCAAGGAAATCTGGAGTGGCCTGGGGGTCCTGACCCCAGACTAGGGGCTCATAAAGTCGATCAGATAGTGTGGCTTCTCTTGGGAGAGGCCCGGTGATGACGGAAAGTAACCCTGGCCAGAGTCAGGATCCAATTCCTGGTTCTGTTGCTCGCTTTCTGAGTGCCCTTGCATGAGTCACTGCCTTCTGGGCCCAGGATCCTCATTTGGAAACAAAGCACTAGGATGAACGGGTTGCTTTTCTTGTCTTCTAGCACCCATTAAGGTGCCCTGGCTTTTTCCTGTCTGCCCTGCCCCTCCCCCAACCCAAGTTCTTGACAAATTGGCCTCAAGAGAAACCCCTGCCCTTAAGGCTAATCCTCTTTGTCTCTGAGCCTATTCAATCCCAATCTAGGACTCCCGCACATGCACACAGACACATGTACATGTACACACGTACGTGTACATACACACATGCACGTGCGCGCAGCTTTCCCAATCAGTATAGGGAGACAGACTGACTCCTTTCCCTCTTCCTTAGGCATCCTCTCTGGCCATGACAACAGGGTCAGCTGCCTGGGGGTCACAGCTGATGGGATGGCTGTGGCCACTGGTTCGTGGGACAGCTTCCTCAAAATCTGGAACTAAGGAGGCTGAAGGAAGGAAGCGGAAGGCCATGAAGACACTCAGCTGCCCCCACCCTCCCCCATCTCTTTCAGGTTCTCTCTTCTATATCCCAGGTGCCATTGCCACTGAGCTTTCTCCCGAGGGCAGTGGGGAGGACGAGGGCAGTGGGGAGGACGGGTAGTGTGCCTTTGGGAGGCAGCCTCAGGGACAAAGGGGCAAAGAACTGCCCCTTCTCCTCCCATGGCCTCCCCTCCCCAAAGTCCTCACATCACCCCGCTTAATGAATGAGGACAACCAACCCCTCCCCAGCCCTTCCCAGGTCCAGCAGGCTTCCAGTTGGAAGCTCCAGGTCCCAAGATCCCTCCCCCAGAGCCACTATCTTTGTGCAGACCTGGGTGGTATAGGGCACTCAGCCCTGTGACTATGGCTCTTGCACCACTAGGGTCCTTGCCCCCTTCTCCTTTTTCTACCTTCTTTTTTTCTCTCCTAAAGCCACCTGCAATAAAGCGTAGCAGCCTGGTACATCTGTGATGTTTGGCTTCCACCTGCCCTCTCTTCCAAAAAGACCCAGGTCCCATTTAAGGGTAATAAAGCATTATGGGTACTGGACAGCTAGCTTATGGGCAGAAAGAAGGCTGTAAGCAGAAGCCCAAGCCTCGTGGGGGAGGCCTGAGATGGGTTGGGAGGAGAAGCTATTCACCAGGTGGCTGGGGGATTGTATGTGCAACAGTTCACTGCAGCCTGCCTAAGGTGCCTGTGTGTATGTTTGTACAGGAAGGTTAAACTGAGGAGGAGTCAGGTTACAAAAGGCCTTGAATGCCTGGCTAAAGAGTCTAGACTTTATCCTAAGGACAGTGGGAAGCCATTGATGAGTTTTGAGCAGAGTAGTAACATGATCAGTTATGCTTCTCAGAAAGATCACCCTGGCAGCAGTGTAGGCTGATGAAATGGAGGCAGGAGAGACTGGCACTAGGGAAACAAGGTGAGAGGCAAGTGGCAAGAAACGCAAGAGCGACAGGACAGAGGTAAGGAAGAGGAATTAAGAAGAGATTAAAGAATGGAATCAAGGGGGGAGGGGGAAGGAGGGGACTGGTATTTGCATACACAAAGAGTGCAATGCGCACCATCCAAGGGATGGGCACACTTGAAACTCGGACTTGGCGGGGAGTGGGGAGGCAAGGGCAACATACATAACCTAAACATCTGTACCCCCATAATATGCTGAAATTAAAAAAAAAAAAAAGAATGGAATCACCAGGCTTTAGTGACCAAGGTTTAGGTTTGGGCAGCAGGGCAGATAATGCTGTTATTCACAAGGATAGGGAATAGGAGATGAGGAATAGCTTTTGGGGAAGATCATAAATTCAATTCTAGATAAACTGACTTTGAACTGCTTATGAGGCAGCTAGATAAAGATGAGGATTACAGAGAAAGACCTGGAAATTACCAGACTATAGGAAAGTGATCACTAAAGCCTTAGAATTAAACACCTAGGGAGAGCAGGAGGAAAGGGGCAAGGACAGAGTCCTGGGGACACCATGACTTAAGGGAGGTACACAAAAAAGGCTCAGAGTATTGGTGAGGGGACGCTCAGACCAGGGAACACAAGTTCTCCAGGCTGCCATTCTCTGGACAGAAGAGCCAGTGCAAGGATTAAGTATACCTTTTAAAAGCATTTAAAACCACTTCCTTTAATATACAAGAAACACAAAAGACACAAAGAAATCCCAATAAAGCTCTCAGTCCCAGATTGGTAGGTTAGGAGGAGTCAAGAAAACAAGCCTTTCCTCAGTCTCCCTGGGAAAAAAGGGGTGAGAGGACACAGAATATCACCAGGCCCTGGGTGAATCCAGTGCCAATACCATGCAGGGCCTAGCTGTCTACCAAGGGGAAGTTCTGATTTTCCTTGTCATGGTCCTGGCCTTGCTCCCATGCTCGTCCTCCAGTTTTCTGAAGTCGTCCAGTTCCAAGAATGGCTCCTTCCTTTAATTCCCTAACATTTTCACTTAGCGGGGAAGGCCGCTTACCCTGCGAAAATCAGTGTATGAGTTGGGGGTGGTTGTTCAGGAGGGGGAAGATCTGGGTAAATGGGTCTCCCACCATCTACATTGGATATCCAAGTAATAGCTTTCACCCTCTCTCCCTTTACCTGTCGTGGTGTCAGGGTCCCGGGGGAGTTGTCATCTTGCAGGATGGTGAGGGGGGATCTCCCTAGTACCTTGCCATTTGGTTTCCGTCTATTTCGCTTGGAACCTAGGATGGGTAATGAGTTAAAGCAAGGATCCAAACCTAGGGGCTTACAGTTTATGCCTCCCACCCTCACCGATGGACTTTATCCCAGAACATCCTATGTTCTCTTCCCTATACCTTGCCCTTAGATTCTGTACCTGAAGATCGGGGAGTTTCGGGATCTCTTAAAGGCTTGTCTGAGCTATGGCTGGCCACGGGGGTTTCTGTGGGCTGTCTTGCTTCCTCCTTGGAAAACACCTGTTTAGAGGGGAGCTCAGTCTGGTTCCAAACTGGTATCTGATCCTCAAGGGATAACTGGGTACCCAGAGGCAAGCCCAATTCAGAACATGAAGATACCTCCAGGGGCGGAATAAGCTCTGCGGGAAGATTTGATTTGGAGGCTTCGGTCTCAAATACTTCACTCAGTTGTTTCACCAGTGGGCTTGGAGGGTCTAGAGGAAAGAAGTGAACAGTGACCTTCTGATACAAATCATTCAGCAAGGAGAAAAAGAACACCAGCTGTAGGACTCATGCCCAGGTGAGTGAGCAAATGGGAAGAGAGAAACCAAAGTGGAGTGAGCAAAATGTTGAGAAAAGACGGGCCCAAAGCAGGAGGATGCAGGCCCCCTTAAGAAGGAGCCCTGAGAGAAAGGCTTCATTGGTCCTATGCAAGAATAGATGACAGCCTTATCAGCATTCCCTGGGTCCAAGACTTGCCTCCATTGCTGGTCTTCATAGGTGTCCGTGCAATGCCAAGGGTAGGAGAGCGGGGATCTGAGTCCTGGGCATGTTTGGGACCCTCCAGTTGTTCCCCTGCTGGTAGGCTTGGCTGTGGAGAGCTCTCCACCTGTCAGGACCATAGGCTAGAACCAGTCTGGGCTCTGACCCTTCTCTCCTTCCCATATTCCAGGGAGGATTGCCAAGGCCCTCAAGACATTCAGCCCACCCCACACAGACTGAGAATGCAGAAAATAAGGCAGGAGTAGGGATGGCAGTGTAAGGGCTTTGTCAGAATCAGATTAGGCAGAAGCCCAAAAATTCAGACAGCTTCTCTGCCTTCCCCACCCTGGCCCAGAGTACCTGGATGGGAGTACGCAGGATGCCAGCACTAGGTGAACGGGGGTCTGCCACTTGAGCCAGATGCTTGTTGTGCGGTGGAGGCCCTGCTGGAGTGACTGGGAGGCTCTTCACTGAGCCCATCTCAACCAGGAGTTGCAGGGTGGGGGCAGGGCCCGGCTCGGGGCGAGGAGGGGATGCCTGCAAGAAGTGACTCAGGTCTCGGCCCTTACCGCGACGATGTCAGACCTGCGACCCCAGACCACCCGATCTTTCCAGTTTCCAGCTGAGGAACCTCCTGGCCGCTGGGCCAGAGGCCTCTGCGGGGTTAATGACTGGTGCGGCGGACCAAGCGGCTCATTCTGGGCCTGCTGGGCCCTCTAACTTATTCATTAATTTATTCAAATCACCTACCAGGCCCCAATTCCACCTTCGCGTACACAGCAGCTCGAGGCTCAACTCCCGAAGCTACGAGTTTCAAACTTCCCGCCACGCCCCCTGCCCTGACCCTATTGGCTGAGCTGACGTAGGCTCCCATAGGCCCGCTATGTGAGACCCGCCTCCAGCGCAGGAAGTCATTGGTCTGGGAAGACGTCTATCACGGAGACCTGTGGGCCAATGGACTGAGGTTTGGTTTGCCAGGGGTGACGCCTCCTCGAGCGGGGGACTTTTGTTCAGTATCGGCCTGCTAGCTGTCCGTCGTGAGACTTTGAGGAGTGCCAGTCTTCGCTTTCGAGACCTTCAGTTTCAAAACCGGATGATTTAATCAAGCAAAATGGAATGATGAGTGATTACGCTATTACGCGTAAATCCAGATTGAGTTGTGGTTTTCCTGAGACAGACATAGTAGCCTTATTGGTTGACAGAGTTATCAATCACTCCACACCAACCCTCTCAAGCTCCGCCCCACTGGATACCCCCTTTTCAAACACCAAGAAGACAATCACCCCTCTACTTTCCCATTAGACAAGTCCCCAGGAAAGTTTCTGGGACTGAGAGATCTAAACGACAGTCAGTTTCTGCTCTTCAATAGAAGGCGTGCTAAGGGGACCTTAGGGCTCGCAGCGTCTGAGCAGCGGCCGCTCCGGAGCCCACCTCGCTTCCCTCCGTGCGCTCCTGCCCTGGAAGGGTGGGATTGGCTCTTTCGACCATCAATTGCAGTAGAAACGCTTTTCATTGGCGTTAGTCAAGAGCCGGCAGAGGGCGGAGCACTGGCAGGCAGGCCGCGGCCAACTGCCATTCTCGCGCTTCTGCCCCTCGGCGCATGCCCCTAACGAGTAGCGCTTATTGGACGGGAGAGTGGGGGTGAGGCTGGGAACGGTGGGAGCCGCTGTGTGGAGGAGCTGCTGCCGGTGTCATGGCGGAGCTGAGCGAGGAGGCGCTGCTGTCAGTGTTACCGACGATCCGGGTCCCTAAGGCTGGAGACCGGGTCCACAAAGACGAGTGCGCCTTCTCCTTCGACACGCCGGTAAGCCCATTCCCCACGCCCGCAGCGAGCACGACTTCCTTCCATCGCCCTGGTCATTCTGCCGGGGCCTGCAAGGCTTGGGCTGCCGCCCCCCTGCGCTGCACCCTGGGACTTGTAGTCTCCCACGCTCCACTCCGCCGCCGCGGTTGAGGAGCTGCGGCTGTCGTGTGACTACGGCCCCCGGAAGCCGCTGCGCTCGCCTGGCCCGCTCCCCGCCTCGCGGAGCACTGTGGGCATTGTAGTCGCTCACTGCCTTCATGGCCGTTCTAAGCGAGGGGTGGAGCCCGACCGTCGGACTACATCCCCCAAATGGACCCTTGCGAAAGCCTGGGAGTCGGCCTTGTCTGTCGCGCACTGCTCCCTGGGTTTTGTAGTTTTGTTTGGGAGTGATGGGGGCGACTCCCCACTGTTCTCGGCCGGGGTTGGGGTTGCGGGCTGGGGACTGCAGTTCCGAAGCGGCTAATAGTCTGGAAGTGGGGTCTGAAGTAGTCCGGTTCTGAGAAAGGCCGAGTTAGAGCCTTACCCATCGTTAATATGGACAGGGGGCGGGGAGGTGGGTCATGGGTGGTGGTGAGGAGAGGAAAGCTCCCGTCGTTTCTCCTTTGAAGTGAACTATTAGCCACTCCCCTCGCCCCAGCCCATCACAGACAGCGGAGAGAAGCCCTTTTAAAGTATTCCTAGAGATGGTTTCTTTCTCAGAAGATGCTAAGGCCCCTTTCCCATCCTGCTCTCACTCTTGACTAGTTACACAAAGCCGCCACCCACACCGTGCTTCACGTTTTGCAAGCTCCACCGGGTACCTCCCTTCCTACTGTTCTGCCTTCCTGTGCCACCCTCAAGCAGAGACAGGCCTTCAGGGCCTGAACTGAGACAGCAGCTTGGCTGGGATCCGCCCCCCTCACCACCCCTCCCCTCAAGCTGCTGGGCCCTACCCAGTGTGTTCAGTCAGACCAGCTCATGGCCTGAAAACTGCAAGTCAGAGTGGAAAGACTTCATTAATGCATCACCAGTGCTCAGTATAGCAGGATGATCTGAGGCCCGGTTCAGGATCATCACTGTGACTTGTGGTTTGCTTGGTTTGCTAGGCTTTGATCTGGGCCTCAGACAATGTGCTGCTTCTCTGAAGTCTGGCTTTGGCAAAGGTAAAAGAAGACTGCTCAAAGCAGAGCTCCAGGGTTCCTAATTCTTGGTGAAACCAGCATCTTTTATTTCCAGCAGAGGAGTTTAATCACTTCAGAGCTCCCACGTTCCTGCCAGGAGGGAGAGGTTTTTCTTAATTACCAGCAGATGGTAGAAGTCAGTGGGTCCCTCTTTACACTTATATTCACTCCTGTCTTTCTCCTTAGTAATTGCTTTGAATAATCCAGAAAGGGGTTTTGTAGTCTTCTGCCACTTTCCCTCTTTCACCTCAAGTCAACAGATCTCCAACGTGACCTAGCTGCTTTGCTAACCAACTTCCAGCCTATTTGATTATTTTCAAATTGGATTCCGGGAAGAAAGAGAGCTAGTTGACCTCCCTGGTGAGAAATGCTCTATTTGTCCATTGACATTGCAATTCTCATTGTTCTAGGGAGTGGTACAGAGCAGTCTATGGACCTAGAACTGCATTAGACAGTGCCCTATTTTTAATATCACAGCAGAGGAATTTTCAAGGCCACCGAGGCTCTTATTCCAGAAGAAGATGCCTATTGCTCCAAGCCTTGGATCTGAAGGAAGATTCATTGTCTCCAATTTCCTCCTCCACCTTCTTCGTCCCTCTGTTTACAAAGGCACTGGAAGACTTGCTGAGCTTTGGGGAAGCCCATCCTCTCTCCTAAGCTGTGATTCAGGGTGGACATTTGTCTTTCCTTCTTTTCTTCTCAGGCTGTATGTGTTTAGCAATCTCCGCAACTGTTGCTAGATGGTTCTAAGAAGGGGATGGCTTTGAGGTTGGAGGTTGATGGCATTTGAGTGGGGATCTTACTTACTGGTCAGAGGGGAGGGGGGATGGCTGGAGAATGTGGGACTTCACATCATGTCCCTGCCAGTCTGGGTCAGGGTTTAGCTGTGAGTCCCAAACAAGGCCTTATTCCCCTGGAGCCAGGCTTCATCAGGAGAGGAGGGAGAAGACTCACAGTGTGGACCAGGGTTCGACTCCCTAGTAGAATGTGATAAAGGAAAGATCTAGGCTTTCTGGAAAACTCAGGTATTAAATGTACTGCTGAGGTGCTGGAATCTCTGCTCTTCCAGTCTGGAAGGTTTTCTGAATCATGGAGATCAGACGGGGTTTGTCTTAGGGGTCCCTGGTTTGGGTTTAGTGTCTGACATGAAAGTCTTCCCTCTCCCAGGAAAGGACCCTTTTCCCCTCCGAATGTAATCTCTGGTGCTGGAAGTCTACAGTATTTGATCCCTGTTACTTTCTGCATCTCAGATCTTAGCCCCAGGAAAGCTGTAAAGGGGGTCCTCTGTGATTGACTGAAGGGCTCCAAAGCCCAGAGGAGGAGCAAGAGGGAAGATGAATGGTGAGGGACTGGTGTTGCTCAGCATCCTGTTGTCCTTTTCAGTGGTTATCAAAGTCATAGGAGGAAATAGGGAGAATCTTAGCAGTTCTAAAAGGTTCCAAAAGGGTAAATAACTTGGCAAGGGCCATGCTGTGTTAGAGAACCAGAAATCTGCTTCTAGGAACTACCTGTTTCTGACTCTAAGTCTTTGGTTTCCTCACCTGTCCAGGCTTCATCCTCCTTGTGTTTCCACTGTTGTCTCTTGTCCTGCAGGAGTCTGAGGGTGGCCTATACATCTGCATGAACACGTTCCTGGGCTTCGGGAAACAATATGTGGAGAGACATTTCAACAAGACGGGCCAGCGAGTGTACCTGCACCTCCGGCGGACCCGGCGCCCGGTAGGGACAGAGGCTGGACCAAGGGCTGGGTGCATTCAGACACATTCCACAGGGTGCCCATTTTGAATCTGTCTATTGGCCTCAATTTCTCCGTTTCACTTACTTTTGTTTGTGTCATTAAAACTTGGAAGATGTGCTTTAGCTTTGTTTTATTCTGAGATTAACCACTCCCTCCCCTCCATCCTCCCTATTTGTCCCTTCCCTGGTGCTCATTGCTGATCCAGCCCTTCCTGCTTCATTGCAGAAAGAGGAGGACGCTACTACAGGCACTGGAGACCCGCCCCGGAAGAAGCCCACCCGGTTGGCTATTGGTAAGCACCACTGCAGTCCTGTTCTCCTCCCTGAGCTGGTCTGTCCTGCACTCAGAGGCACTCGGAAAGTCCCAAAGAATGCGCCTGATTGGTGGCCCTAGAGATCTGGAAGGGACAAAATGAGGTGTCTGAGGAGGGACATTGACCTATAGTGGTTTCCCTACTCTCCCTCTTCTTCCCTATCCCTCCAGGTGTTGAAGGCGGCTTTGACCTCACCGAAGAGAAGTTTGAATATGACGAGGATGTGAAGATTGTCATTTTGCCAGATTACCTGGAGATTGCCCGAGATGGGTTGGGGGGTCTGCCTGACATTGTCAGGGATCGGGTATGAATCCCTTCCCACCCTACCAGAGGTTCTAGGGCAAGATGGGTCGGGAGAGTAATGTCTTGTGCGAGCACTGACAAAGCTGAAGACCAAAGGGGTGTGGGGCGAGGGGCTGGGGACTGCCTCTGACCCTCTCTTCCCCTAGGTGACCAGTGCAGTGGAGGCCCTGCTATCGGCTGACTCAGCTTCTCGCAAGCAGGAGGTGCAGGCCTGGGATGGGGAAGTGCGGCAGGTGTCTAAGCATGCCTTCAACCTAAAGCAGTTGGACAACCCTGCTCGAATCCCTCCCTGGTGAGACCTGGCCCTTCCATCTTGGGGCACAACTCCTGGAGCAAGGGCAAAGAGAACACCCTTCTGGGGGAGATAGTGGGAGAGGGTAGGGAGCAGGACAGGGAGGGAGATAAACAAAGTGTGGGGACTTGGGGGGAGATAAACAAAGCGTGGGGACATCCAGCAGAGAGGAGAAGAGAGAGACCTTGAGCTGGCAGGGGCCTGCAAAGCCCCTCTCTCCACCACTCCCACATACTCCTGACCCGCATTTCAGCTAATTTTCTTCTCCTTGGATTAGTGGCTGGAAGTGCTCCAAGTGTGACATGAGAGAGAACCTGTGGCTCAACCTGACAGATGGCTCCATCCTCTGCGGCCGACGCTACTTCGATGGCAGTGGGGGCAACAACCATGCTGTGGAGCACTACAGGGAGACAGGCTACCCATTGGCTGTGAAGCTGGGCACCATCACACCTGATGGCGCTGGTACCCCCTCCCCTGCTCCAGCCACCCTCACACTTAACTGTGTTTCATTTGTTAGTAATTTTATATGACATGAATAGTACATGAATGCATTCTCTTGATAAAAAATGAAAATACTGCAGATGAGACCAAATCTCTGATGAACACACCCTCCTCTGTCCCCCCATCCTAGTCCCTTACCTACCAAACCTGCCTTATCCTAGTACCTTATCCTGCAGGGGTGGACTCAGAAGCACAATGAATTCCAACCCTAACCGTGTTTCACCCCATCTCCCCTGAACGCCAATCCCAGAAGGGCTTGCGATCTCACTGATATTCAAGGGAAGCACGAGGATGACCCTTATAGGCTGTCCTCCTCTCCCACCAAGGCCGCTCTGGACAGGGGTGGGACTGGTGGCCAGCCCAGTCCTGAGCCACTTCCCCTGACACTGTTCCTGCCTCCTGCTCTAGACGTATACTCATACGATGAGGATGACATGGTCCTGGACCCCAGCCTGGCTGAGCACCTGTCCCATTTCGGCATCGACATGCTGAAGATGCAGAAGGTGAGACCCTCTTCAGGTTCAGATTCTCCTAATTCCTGTCCCTGTGAGTCCCTTCTTCCTTGCCTGAGCCTAAGGTGGGGTGTTAGGGAAAGCTTCTGTAACCCAGTCCCCAAGATACGTGGGCTTCCTTTGAAAAGGTTTCTAGCATCATTCATTCAGTCAGCAAATACTACTGAGTATTTACTATGTGCTAGTCATTGCGTGAATGAGACCAGTCTGGTCTTTGCTTTCATAGACTTATATTCTAGAGGAAAAGGCAGGGATTAATCACATTCTCACACAAATAAGTGAATTAATTGCAAACTGTGATGGGTGCTATGAAAGAGAGGTGGGGGGTACTATAATCATTAGCAGGGGGACCTGGTCTAGTCTAGGGGATTGGGGTGTTTCCCTGGAGAAGTGATGCTCAAGTGACAATCTGAAGGTGAGGGAGGGGTAATTTCAGAATGGGAAAAACATTTCAGGTGTAGAAAATCTCATTCATTTCATTCCCTTATTCAAGCAGAGACCTGATGTCTTATAGGCCTCTGGGACAATAACCTGTAGCCTTCCAGAACGTGGGCTGGGTGATACTTAATGTGCCTCTCATGTTTGAGCCCGTAATTCCACAAATTCTAGGCTGCAGCTGGGTATCACCCTATACTCAGTGGGAGATCAAGGTGAAAAATACAAGGCTGAGTTTCTCACCCAGTCTGAAGTGCCCCTTCCCACGCAGACGGACAAGACGATGACCGAGTTGGAGATAGATATGAACCAGCGGATCGGCGAATGGGAGCTGATTCAGGAGTCAGGTGTGCCACTTAAGCCCCTGTTCGGGCCCGGCTACACAGGCATCCGGAACCTGGGTAACAGCTGCTACCTCAACTCCGTGGTCCAGGTGCTCTTCAGCATCCCTGACTTCCAGAGGAAGTGAGTAGTTGCTTGGCACGGCCCCTCTCCTGGTCACTAGCCTCTGGGCACACTCCTCCACCAGCGCCCTCCGCACCTCTGTGCTTGATCTCAGTCCTAGAGTAGTTCCTGTTGCACTCTGGCTGGTGTGCCGTCCCCAGCACACACAGACCCCGCCAACCGGCAGAGCAGAGGGCCAAATCCCAGGGCTCCTCAGCCTGCTGACAGACTCAAGGGGTAGCAGGTGGTCTTTATTTAGGCCAGTGACATCAAATGAGCACCTCACGTGGATATGTAGCGTTCAGGAAGAGGGGCGATGGGACACTAAGAAGAAAGGCGGGTTCTCGGCGTAAACGAGCTTACTGTCTAATTGGGAAACAATATGAAAGCGGAGAACATGTCAGTAAGTTCTGTCCAGTAGAATATGAACTGTATTTATCCTAATCCCGGGCTGCCTTCTCCCATCCCCTGGCTCTGTCTTGAGGAGGAGGCAGGGAAAGAACACTCCACACTGGACACAGTCGAGGGGGAGGACGGGCAGGTGCTGGAGAGAAATGGACTCCAAGGTCTAACCGCAGTGACTGCTCTGGGGGAGCCTGTTCACAGAGTTAGTAGATAATTGTTCCCTTCCCTTTTCCTCGGAGCTCAGGCCAGAGCCCCTCCAATTATCCTTCCCTTGACTTCTAGGTATGTGGATAAGCTGGAGAAGATCTTCCAGAATGCCCCGACGGACCCTACCCAGGACTTCAGCACCCAGGTGTATGTAGCCGGGTCCTATTTGCAAAGGCAGTTGAGAGCCTCCCAGCATACCCTTCCACCTCCACGACCACCTGGAGTGCGAAGCAGTTTAGATCTTGGCCCTTTAGAAGCTTTCGGGTGACTGCCTTCTGGGCATGTTGTCTGTCTTGAGCTGGGTTCCTTTGGAACGTAAGGTTCTTCACATTTTAGAGAGTTGTCTAAGGAGAGCTATGAGCAAAGGTTGAGTTGGGGAGGAAAAGACACAGATAGATGTGCCCATAGTTAGTTGACTGAAACAAAATAGTCTTCTTGGATATTAACGCAGGGCCAAGCTGGGCCATGGCCTTCTCTCAGGAGAGTATTCCAAGCCAGCACCGGAGTCAGGTGACGGGGAGCAGGTGCCAGAACAAAAGGTGCGTCGTCTGGGACTCTGTCCCTTTCAGGCTCTGGGATTATGGGGAAACGGGTCTGGGAGATGTCTGAAGAAGGCCACTTGATGGCCCTTGAGCCCCAGCTGAGTCCCTGCCCTGGCTCTGCCCAGGAAGTTCAAGACGGCATCGCCCCTCGGATGTTCAAGGCCCTCATCGGCAAGGGCCACCCTGAGTTCTCCACCAACCGGCAGCAGGATGCCCAGGAGTTCTTCCTTCACCTTATCAACATGGTGGAGGTGAGGGCTGGGAAGATGGCACCCCTGTCTGCCTTCAGATTACTCCCTCTCCCTCCTGCCCACTCCTTCCTCAGTCATCCCCACCCCTGTACCCCAGCAGTCTACACACACTGAGCCTTCCCTGTGGGTAGCGTTTGCACCTGAGAAGAGTAAAGACAAGCCATGATCCTTACCCTTGGTGGGCTTGCAGCTTAATTAAGGATACTCCCAAAGAAAATGATATGAGAATACTTAATTGTTTATAAAGAGAAATACAAGCACATTGTAACACAGTCCCACAGTGCTAGGATGGGGCCAGAAATGGGGAGGGGATGGTTAATTAGGGAAAGTTTCTGCACTACTCTTGCATCCCCATGCCCCTAAGAGGTAGTCTCCCTTCTCTGCCTGACTCCCCAGTGAACCTTTGAGGTGCCATTCCATTCCCCGGCTGCCCAGACCTCCCTACCCTGCCTCTTTCCCATAGAGGAATTGCCGGAGCTCTGAAAATCCTAATGAAGTGTTCCGCTTCTTGGTGGAGGAAAAGATCAAGTGCCTGGCCACGGAGAAGGTTAAGTATACCCAGCGAGTTGACTACATCATGCAGCTGCCTGTGCCCATGGATGCAGCCCTTAATAAAGGTAGGTTGCCCTGTCAGCAAGGCTTGATGCCTTGGAGGCTAAGGTCTATGATGGGTGCCAGGGCACCTGATGGGCACAGAGCCCACAGTATGCCCTGCTCCACCAGCCAGAGTTCTGAAGCTGGGCCACCAGTGTGTGTAGAATTAATCGTGCCCAGTGGAATCTCAGCTTATTACCAGAGCTATGTTGAAACAGAGGCAAGATGTAATGGATGTGTGCCAGGGGTACTTGGGGAGGGTGGGAGAACTGAGATAGTTGTGCATAGAGGGCCAGTAGGGCAAGGCTAAGGAGGTAAAGGGGCAGCAGCCTCTGAAGGACCCACCAACCCTTTCTATCACCAGAGGAGCTTCTGGAGTATGAGGAGAAGAAGCGGCAAGCCGAAGAGGAGAAGATGCCGCTGCCAGAACTGGTTCGGGCCCAGGTGCCGTTCAGCTCCTGCCTGGAGGCCTATGGGGCCCCTGAGCAGGTGGACGACTTCTGGAGCACGGCGTTGCAGGCCAAGTCAGTAGCTGTCAAGTAAGTCCTTTGAGCCGGGTGCAGTGGCTCATGCCTATAATCCCAGCACTTTGGGAGGCTGAGGCAGGAGAACCGCTTGAGGCCAGAAATTCAAGACCAGCCTGAGCAAGATAGTGAAACCCCATCTCTACAAAAAATTAAAAAATTAGCCAGGTGTGATAGCATGCACCTATAGTCCCAGCTCCTCAGGAGGCTGAGACGTGAGTTATCACTTGAGCCCAGGAGTTCGAGGCTGCAGTGAGCTAGATCATACCACTGCACTCCAGCCTGGGTGACAGAGCAAGACCCTGTCTCTTAAAAAAAAAAAAAAAAAAGTATGTCCAGTCCTTTGGTCAGGGCCTAAATAAGGCTGCAGGCCTATGGCAGGGTGATCCCAAAAGATGTATCTCTGCCTCTGTCCTATTTTTTCATCCCTGTGTGGTTAGAATCTTAGGATTGAATCACTTGAGGCTGGTAATCTCCCCAAGAGGCCCTCACAGGGATAGACATGGAAATGACTATATCTGTCTCCTTGTCCTGCCCCAACCACTCCCTCTTCTTTCATGGTACAGGGTCTCTTTCTAGTGCATCCTCTCTCCACTCCTCCCCTGATCATGGCAGAGCACAGGCACGTGGTATCAGCTGTGGACAGAGTTTGGATTTCCAGCCAGTGGCCCTACTTTCTGCCTAGCCATTGGCATCTGGCACTGGGTGCAATGTGAAGGAGGGCTTTAGTCTCAAGGGAGTCAGCCACCCAGCCCTTCGCTGCTCCTGCCAGTGAAACCCATCCTCTGGCTTCTGCTGCTCCTTGTTGGCTGAGGACAGACATCAGATGCCTGCCCGCCTGCCCAGGGGATGAGAAGAGTGTGGAGTATCTTCTGGGTTACTGGGACTTCTGCCCATGAGAGGCTGAGCCCTAGAGTGGGAGTCAGGACGGGAGAAGCCTGGGGATTCTCTGAGTACCAGCACATTCTCTCCCCTAGGACCACACGGTTTGCCTCGTTCCCTGACTACCTGGTCATCCAGATCAAGAAGTTCACCTTCGGCTTAGACTGGGTGCCTAAGAAACTGGGTATGGTTGCTGGGATGAGAGAGGTTAAGCAGAACATGCTAGAAAAAGAAGGGGCCTTAACACATGTAAAACTAGTGTTTCTCAAACTTTCCCCTGAAAAGGGAAAAAAATGACCTTAGATATTTCAAAATGTGTCTAATTTGAAAAGCACTGACTAAAAATGTTAAAAGACGTCTATGATTTTATAGGTATGATTTACCACCCAAAGTGATTTTCACAGTTTTATTTTTGTAATTGGCAAGATGTCTTCATTTTGATAGTCTTGAAGCAATTCATTCTTACGAGTCTTACAGGTCCTGACTGTAATTTGAGAAATACTGATTTACCTTCATTTTTAGATAAGGAAGTTGAGACCCACAGAAGTATAAAATCACCCTGTCTCACGAGTTTTGGGTGTCCTGCCTCGCCCGTACCTCAGCTGTGGTAGATCTAGGACTTGCATCCGGGCTCCTGACTCCTGAGCTCACTGTTATTTTTCTTACAGTGGGATCCCTAAGATTGGTACTGCTTGTAGCAGCTTCTTGTCAAAGAGCAGTTCTGCGATAGGGGACAGGGCGTTGAGGCCCCCAAAGTGCTTTTCTAGGAGGGCCTCAGGGAGCTGCTCAGGTGTCCCCTTTGCTGCAGATGTGTCCATCGAGATGCCAGAGGAGCTGGACATCTCCCAGTTGAGGGGTACAGGGCTGCAGCCGGGAGAGGAGGAGCTGCCAGACATTGCCCCACCCCTGGTCACTCCGGATGAGCCCAAAGGTAGCCTTGGTTTCTATGGCAACGAAGACGAAGACTCCTTCTGCTCCCCTCACTTCTCCTCTCCGACATGTTAGTGACTCTTCTTCCTGCCTGTCTCCCTTGCTGATGGGGGCCTCTCTGTCTTGCCTCCCTGACCCTGTCCCTTTGTGTTTCTCCTGTCCTCCCTTTCAAATTTCCTCTGCCCTCTTTCGATGGAGGTGGGGACCAACTGGAGCACTCCAGTCACATTCCCAGTGTGGATGGCGGGAGCACTGGCTGAGTGCCTCTCTGCCCTTGTCACCTCCCTGGTCTGGGTCGGGTGGGAGTATTGTGCTCCAGAAACAGGGCCTGTTCTGTGGGAGCGGGCAGGAATCTGTCTGACCCACGTTACATTGCGTGGTCATTATAGTTCTGGGATAAGGTGCCAGTCCGTGAAGAAAAATGCACGTAATGGGTGATTGGGAGAGGGCTGGGGGCGGGCCTGGGGGAGGGAGGAGGAGCCGTGGGAGGGAGGTGGTCAGTCACCGTGCCCACATTTCCCCATCGCAGCACCCATGTTGGATGAATCCGTCATCATCCAGCTGGTGGAGATGGGCTTCCCCATGGACGCCTGCCGCAAAGCCGTCTACTACACAGGCAACAGTGGCGCTGAGGCTGCCATGAACTGGGTCATGTCGCACATGGACGATCCAGGTAGGCAGGGGTGGGGAGCGGGGTGGGGCAGGGCCTCCAGCCTCCCCAAACACTTCAACCCCTTGACATCCACAGATTTTGCAAACCCCCTCATCCTGCCTGGCTCCAGTGGGCCCGGTTCCACGAGTGCAGCAGCTGAGCCCCCGCCAGAGGACTGTGTGACCACCATTGTCTCCATGGGCTTCTCCCGGGACCAGGCCCTGAAAGCTCTGCGGGCCACGGTATGGGCTGCCCCAGCTAAGCGCTTGGGGCCAGTGGGGAAGAAAGGGGTGGGAGTGTCGGTCCATCTTCCAGCAGCAAGACCAAGGACAAAGGTGGGTGCCACCCCTCTGTGGCTATGATGAAGGAGCTGAGGCTCTCCTTCACCACGGGCTCTCTCGCCCCAGAACTTGTTAGAAAAAGTAATGCTTCCCTCCTCTCCAAGAACAATAGTTTAGAACGGGCTGTGGACTGGATCTTCAGTCACATTGATGACCTGGACGCCGAGGCTGCCATGGACATCTCAGAGGGCCGCTCGGCTGCCGACTCCATCTCTGAGTCTGTGCCCGTGGGACCTAAAGTCCGGGATGGTCCTGGAAGTGAGTGTCCCTGGGAACACTCCCTGGTAGAATATAGCCGATTTGCCACACTAGATCCCTCATCCCAAGGCAGCTCTGCTTTCCTCAGGGGTCAGAGGCTTCTTTTCACCAGTGACTTCTGAGGGTGGGACTCTAGGCGGCCGAGAGAGCCATTGGCCCGGTACATGCCCCACAGTCCTTGAAACTCCTGTCCCGAGTTTGAGTTGTTAGTTTTATCTTTGGACTGTCACCCAAGGATCCTCTCATTTCCCTCCCTGCCCTGTCTCTCCCCCTCCCTAGAGTATCAGCTCTTTGCCTTCATTAGTCACATGGGCACCTCTACCATGTGTGGTCACTACGTCTGCCATATCAAGAAGGAAGGCAGGTGAGGGGCTGGCGTGTGTGTTTTGCATGGAGAAGTGGAGGTGGGAACTAGTACGGGTGTCCTCGAAGTCCTTAGAACATTTGTGGGAGAAGGTAAAGGACTGCCTGATGGGGGGCATAGACACCCCGGAGCGTGAGAGAATGTCTTCCGGCAGGGGTAGGCAAAGGGCTGAATCTGCTCCATCTGCAGCCTGAGGGCTGAATCTGGCCACCTGCTTTTGTAAGAGAGTTTTGCTAGAACACAGCCACACTTGTTCATGTATTGTTTGTGGCTGTTTTCATGCTGCTACAGGAAAGTTGAGTAGTTGTATCAGAGACCAGATGGCCTGCAGAGCCTTAAACTGGCCCTTTCCAGAAAAAGTTTGCCAACTTCTTGCCTCACAGGAGTGGGTGGGGGTGGTTGTAAAGACACTGGAGAATCTGAAAGACAGTAAATATGAGAAGTGTCCTGTATTGCGAGATTGTGACAGTCTCTTCAGACAGGAAGCAGCTGGACTGTAGGTTTTGGGGGTCCAGGCAGAGACTTTTGGGAGCCTCGGCCCCAGAGTCACCAGCATCACCTCCAGGGGCTATGTCAGAGGCTAAGCTGACGCAACTGGAATGCCCAGTTGTTCACCCTTTCCTGTCGCTTCCCCCACTTCCCCAGATGGGTGATCTACAATGACCAGAAAGTGTGTGCCTCTGAGAAGCCACCCAAGGACCTGGGCTACATCTACTTCTACCAGAGAGTAGCCAGCTAAGAACCTGCCCTCACCTTTACCACCGAGGGCAGGGGACAGCCCACCTGGCATGAGGGATAGGAGCTGAGGGATGGACTTCAGCCCCCTGCTCTGTGCCCTTTTTCTTTTTGTTCCTGGCAGCAGGGAAGAAGCTGGAGGCCACAGGAGAATGGCCAAGCTATGGCAGAGGGGCTATAGACTCTGGGGATGGAGCAGGAAGGGGATGGGAGGGGGCTGACCGCCTGTCTGTAAGGAGACTTTGTTGCTTCCCCTGTCCCTGGAATCCACAGTGCTCTGCTTCTGTGTCACCCTGCCCAGCACCCTGGTGTGGAGGGGAAGGGTCTTATCTGTGTGCGTGCGTGGGTGTAGCTTTGTGCAGCCTCTTCCTGGGGAGGGAGCACCTGTGCCTCCCCTCCCCCTTTGTGTTCGCCCCTGTGTGGTTGGGCAAGGAGGGATATGAGGGAAATGGGTACTCACCCTTGCCCTCCTGCCTCAGTCTCCCCCCTGCCTCCCACCCCCGTCTCTTCCCTTTACTTCTCTGGAAAATGCCAAAATACACGATGTGAATAAAAGTACAATGGCTAAGCTGTGTCCTGTTTGATACTTTGGGAGAGACTTACCTTCTGGGGTTAGCAGGAGCGCCAGTTTCAGAAAACCGCCAGCTCTGTCCCCTGCCCCTCCCTAGGCAGCTCTCTACTTTTCACTGGTTCTGGACCTCTTGGAAAACTGGGCGCTGGGTGGGGACGTGGAGTAGAGTGGCATAAACGCAGAGCACAAGGCAAAGGGACGATGGGATGAAGAGCCCTTCCTTGCTTCCTGTAGTCACACAGGGTAGGCCCAAGTGTTTCCCAGATGTCCCTCGTGGGCCTCAGTCCCTGCTGTTCTTGTCAGGCCTCAGCGGCCTGGAGTCCAGGAATGGGATACTCCGGGCACACTTTATGCCGGTGTGAGCTGCCCCTCCCACTCTGGACCCCGTATTTGCCCAGCACCTGGCTCTACGCTGTCCCTGGGTACGTCAAGGGTGCCTGCTCAGCAGTGCGGGAGCAGCTACTCCGATGGGGGAAGGGGCTTCTCTTTCCCGGAGTCGGAGCCATGCCCGCAGCGATCGCAGCCCGAGAGCAATCTGGGCGACGGCCCACTTGCTGCCAGCCAGCGTCACTCGGAACCCACTCTGGCCCTGTGGGGCTGACGTCGCGCAGCGGGGGTTTCCTGACGCAGAGGGTCCCAGTTCTCGTCTTCTCCTGAAAGACAGACAATTGAGGCAGAAGCGACTGAGCCCTCTCAGACGTTTCGCGTAGAACGTTGCTACAAGAAAGGGGGAACGTCAGAACATCGCGACAGCGGCGGGCGGCGGGCGGGCCGGGGGCGGGCTCCGGCGGGGCGGGCTCAGCACGGCCGAGGACGACGGGGAGGCGGAGCTCTGCTTCACGACCCTGTATATAAGCGAGCAGTGGCCGCGGCTGCGCGGTGGTACTGACCTTCAGTGTGTCGCCTCCAGCGCCATGGCGCCCTCCAGGAAGTTCTTCGTTGGGGGGAACTGGAAGATGAACGGGCGGAAGAAGAGTCTGGGGGAGCTCATCAGCACTCTGAACGCAGCCAAGGTGCCGGCCGACACCGGTGAGCCCTCGCCGGGGAGGGGTCGGGCCGAGGGCCGGGGGTCGGGCGTGGCGGCGCCGTCTCCCGAGCTCCGAGTGGCCTCCTGCACCTGGATGCAGGGCTGGGGGACGAGGGCTTCTGGGTGTCGGAGCATGGGCCCCGCAGCCGCAGAAGCGGAGGTGTGTCGAGCGGGGAAGGCTGGGCATTTAATGGTGCCCGCTCAGACGGTGGGGCGGGAGTGGACTTCTAGGGGTGTCAGGAGGAAGGTGGCTCCAGGGCGTGGACTGGGGCGGCACCAGCCAGGAGTCGGGGGTAGGAGCGGAGCCTGGGCCTCCGTGGGCTATTGGGAGAAGCTGGCTGCAGCCCCCGAGTGTGGGGGAGGAGGCTGAGCTTGCGCGGGTTCCCGGCCACCTGCCCCCTCGGCAGCCGGCTCCGTGCGCCGCCGCACGTAGCCAGAGACTCCTCCCAGTGCCTTGCCGGGCGCGCTGAGTCCCCTCGCCCAGCTGCTCTCGGCCCTTGAGCCACAGCTCTGAACCCTTCCCTTCGTCAGCCTGAGCGACTCCTGCCTTCCACCAAAGGGACTGAGCAGGCTGAGCCATTTGGGAGTGAGGAGCGAGCCTACAGCTTCCTTCAACCTGGAAACGGGAAAGTGCAAGACCTCTATGAGCCAGTCAACTCCCTGCCACTCAGGAGCAAAAGCCCTATTCCTCCATCCTTCCGCTCCCACCAACCTAGATCACAGAACCATGGGCCTCATCAAAAGAGGCATCTCTTTCTCGTTTATTCCCCAGAAACCCAATACAAACTCAGTAGTTGGCCCCTTTTGCTAAACATCCTTGCCTTGCTGGGGAAGGTGGGGATGGGCTATTTTAGAAGAGAGGCAGGGTTGGCCCCTAGAGAATGCTGAGTCTAGGAGGTGCCCATGCCCAGAATAGCTTCAGGGAATTGGAGCCACAGCTGGTAAAAGAGCAGGGGCAGGGTGAGGGCCATGGCCTCTCAGAGTCACCTGGAAGGCTCTGGGAGTTGGGTGCAGGCCCAGTGTGGGCTGGAAAGTGGACAGAGTCATCTTGCTGGGGCCAGAAGGGAAGAGCAGAACGAAGAAAGAGGGTGAAGGCTGGGGGGCTCCAGAGCACTCAGTAGGAAGTCTGGAGAATGAAGGCTTTCTTGGCTCTCATGCTCAGAGGTGGTTTGTGCACCCCCCACTGCCTACATCGACTTCGCCCGGCAGAAGCTAGATCCCAAGATTGCTGTGGCTGCGCAGAACTGCTACAAAGTGACTAATGGGGCCTTTACTGGGGAGATCAGGTGAGATGGAGGCAGAGAGGGTGCGTGGGGACCCTTCCCTCACTTTCCTCATTGTGGAGAAAGCCACAGGGTGGGCTCCCTGCTGAACCCTGGCTCTGTCTCTTCTTTTAGCCCCGGCATGATCAAAGACTGTGGAGCCACATGGGTAGTCCTGGGGCACTCTGAGAGAAGGCATGTCTTTGGGGAGTCGGATGAGGTTAGTAACCAAAAGAGGAAATAAGAGATGCCTTATTCCAAGAGGGATGTCTCACCATGCCTGTTCTTCAACAGCTGATTGGGCAGAAAGTGGCCCATGCTCTGGCAGAGGGACTCGGAGTAATCGCCTGCATCGGGGAAAAGCTAGATGAGAGGGAAGCTGGCATCACTGAGAAGGTTGTTTTCGAGCAAACCAAGGTCATCGCAGGTATTTCTAGAAAAAAGGACCTTTGAGTCTAGCCAGGGCCACGGAGTTGAGAGAGTGGGGTCAGGTTCCCTGGAGACTTGGTCCCTCTCACTTGCGCTCCTGCCCCTGAAGGCATGGATGCCACCTGAAAATCTGTCAATATCCACCAGGGGGCAGTAGGCCATCGTTCTTCATACTGTGGGGACTCTGGCTGGATAGCTCCTTGCTGTTCACCCTTCCCTCCATCTGTGATCTCTGTCCTGCAGATAACGTGAAGGACTGGAACAAGGTCGTCCTGGCCTATGAGCCTGTATGGGCCATTGGTACCGGCAAGACTGCAACACCCCAACAGGTAACCAAGCCCCCCTGCCCTCATCCTATCCAGCCTCAGTAGGCCTGGACAGAGATCATCTGGGCCCACCCCTCGTTTTAAAGACAAGACACTCTGGAGCCCAGAGGGCCTGTGACTTGTCCAAGGGCATCTATTCCACGGCTTGGCTGGGATCGGAGCCCTGTTACTCTGATTGAGATCCCAGGGCTCTTGCTGAGAAACCACACTAACTCTCTTCACTGGTACCAGTGATTTTTCCTGTCTGAGCTTGGGCTGGCTTCTTGTTCTAGGCCCAGGAAGTACATGAGAAGCTCCGGGGATGGCTTAAGTCCAACGTCTCTGATGCAGTGGCTCAGAGCACCCGTATTATTTATGGAGGTGAGTGGGTTTGGCTCCGCAATGAGGTGGGGTGGGCTGAGAACCAGACTGAGCCTCAGACATGGAGGTAGGGATGGCGTGTACTCATCCCATCCCTGACCAAGCCTCTTTCCGCTCCCTTCCCAGGTTCTGTCACAGGGGCAACCTGCAAGGAGCTGGCAAGCCAGCCTGATGTGGATGGTTTCCTCGTGGGTGGCGCTTCCCTCAAGCCCGAATTTGTGGACATCATCAATGCCAAACAATAGGCCCATCCATCTCCCCTACCCTTCCTGCCAAGCCAGGACTAGGTAGCCCTGAAGTCCAGTAACTGCCCCTACCTTGCACATGCTTCTGATGGTGTCAGCAGCACCCTCTCATGGCCTACTCCAAACTGTACCTTCCTTTACTGTTTATACCTTCCTCCGTAATGGTTGGGACCAGGCCAATCCCTTCTCCACTCACTATGATGGTTGGAGCTAAACATGTTACCAAGGTGGCTTTCTTGGCTGATAGGTGGAAGGGGTAGAGCTTGCTTGTGGGTCCTCTCAGGCCCCAGTGAAAGCAGGAAAAAGAAACCATCCTCCTCTCCCCTCTCACACCTTGAAGCCAGACTCCTCCCCGTAGAGGCCGGGGGTGCTCCCCTCTCCCATGGTGCCAATGCCTGTGTATGATGTGTGTGACCCATCCCACATGTGAGGGAAATAAAACACCTGGCACTAAGCCTTGTGGTCTGTCCTCCTTCCCTGTCTTTGCCCATATACTCTTTTTCCTTTTTGAAGCAGCCATAGAATTTTATCCCTTGTGCAAAAATGAAAAGACCACGAACAGGTTTCTATAACAACACATCTCTCACTATTTTTACTTGAAAAAATGTCTTTCGTACCAGGCTGCCACAGCCTTGAATATCACCTCCCTCCCTCCACCCTCTGAATGGCTCTGAGCCATCCCCAGAGAATGCGTTGGGTAGGGGCCCAGCCTCACTGGCTTTAAGTAGCTGATCTTGGCTAGCAGCGCCTCCCCACCTCCCCAGTACAGAGGTGGTGGCAAGGCCCCAGCACAGTCTGTGGTATCACAGGGCTCACTGGTAGAGCAGGTAGCGCTTCATGGCAGGGGGCAAGGGCAGAGCAGATACCTGGCCAAGCCGGGTATCCCCCAGGGTGTGGCGTACACACAGGCGGCTCAGGTGCAGAAGGGAGTGTGGCTCCGCTGGGAGAGAGAAGGAGGGGAAGGTAAGTAGGGGTGCAGCCACCAGCCAGACATCCTAAAACTACAGGGCCTGCCTAGGTGTCCTGCTTTCCTGCTGAGTCTGCCCCCACCTGTGCTGAAAGGGAGATCTAAGGTACCCTGAAGTTCTGCGTCACAGTTAAGATTTCACACATCCCTAGTCAGAGCTGGGGGTGAAGCTCTAAGACCCTCTAAGCAACAGGCCATGGTGGCTCTGACAGTGCAGGAGCTGACCCAGCCTTTGATTCCAGAGAGGCCTTGAAGCTAGGGCTGATGAGGCGAGAGGAAGGATGGCCTCCCTCCACTCTACAGTGGCTCACCGCAGCTGATGGGAAGACAGGCATCGCCCACCCCTGAAGTCAGCAACTGCAGAGAGCTGGCCCTTGTCAG